TTATAATGTAGTGCGAAATGTGAAGAACTTGAGTCTTAGTTTCTTTCTTCTTTGGAAGTTCAGAGAGAGAGAGAGAGAGAGAGAGAGAGAGAGAGAGAGAGAGAAAATCTGGAAATTATTCCTCTCGTTTTCTCTCCTTATCTCCTTTTTTCGTATCTTCGGTTTCTGTTTCTCTTTGGCATTTTTACTACCAAAAATATCTAATTGATTATATATAAATATCCTCGCTTGCCGCAAAAGTTTGTCGGCTGTTGATGTGATGCATATTTATGATAAGACGAGATGAGATTTTTGTGTATGGGGAGAATGGGGATTGATGAGATTGATGAGATGGGTTGAGGTGAGATGAGTTGATAACTCAGGATGGGGGGGTTAGAGGGTGTTTGTTTGTTTGTTTTGCACTTTTGCACTTTTGGGGGGAGGGGGGTGGATTAGATTTGTTGGTTAAGGGACGGAGGAGGCATCAGAGGGGGGGAAGGAAATTTTGGGGACGGTAATGTTTTCTTTTTTGAAAGGGTAGAGAGGAGAGAGTGTGTTATTCGTTGTACTAGGGTTTGGGAGTCAGAAGAGGGGGGGGGGGGGTCAAAGGACTAAGTAGTCATTGAGAAGAGGGTTTATCTTTTTAAAAACTGTGAGGGTCTACATCCATGGTTTGTTTAGAGATACTATCAACATCTCAAAAGTTCATGGTAGATTTATTTATTATTTAATTTTCTTATAAGTTGTTCGGGTTTTCCCTTCTTTTTTCCAAGGATATAGTTTTCTGTTACTTTAATTTACAGCACAAACACAAGTACGAAAATCGCTATATGATTAGCGATAAATTTTTCCTCCTCTTCCCTCTGTTTGCGTCGGCCTATCTATCTATCTTTCTAGACTAGGAATTTCCCTTGCGCATTCGAGCTTTTACTTGTAACTTGCAAGATGGTATTATTACTTCATCTTCTGTGTTACGCGTTCCAACTCTAATCATACACCGGGTACAAATCTCCATTATCCATTATTCATTTCTATTCATCATATCCCATTAGATATTTACTACATGAAATCAATTTCAAGGTTGGAATTCATTCTCACCTTGAGATAAACAGCAACGTGTGGGTAATATAGTGGGAGTAGGATCTGTTATTGGTATTACAGTTTGCGCAGCGTCGCTTGTGGATTTGGTAGGTGTTGTTTTGTGGAGGAGGTATGATAGGAAGGAGTGAGAGATTAGGGACTGGATGGGGAAGGTGTGATGGATATGTAGGGAGATGCAAGTGAGTTCGCGGGAAGAAATGTAGTGCGGGATGGGTTTTGTGTCTCTTTGGCGAGACATGTTGTGGTGTAGGAGTCGCTTGGTTTGCCGGGTAGTTGAAGTCGAAGGTTGGATTTGGACTTGGACTTGGACTTGGATTTGGACTTGGACTTGAATGGTTTTGGTGTTGATGTTATTAGAGTGGAATTTGAAGTTTGACAGTTGAATGTGAAGAAATTGAACTACAAATCTATGGGGGTGAGTCTGTGAGAAAATTATTGCACTGAGGGTTTTATAGAATAGTGCTGTATGTCGAAAGAGTAGTGTTTTCCATCCCTTCCAGATGAGACTATTTAGCTATTATTGGGATATGATCATATAACCTTGAGAAATGTTCGAGATAATAGAGATTCGGGGAGGGAGGAAAACGAGTAATATTCCTCTGATATCTACACTTCCAGACTTAATCCCACGCTTATGAGCTCTGGAAGAACTTTTTCGACGCACGCCACGAACATAAAGTGAATGAGATGACTAAATAGATACTTGAACACAATGATTTAAGAGTCATGTGTATGACTGATAATATCGTTCTCGAGTCACTTCGAGTCAGAGGAATAGCGCTAAAGTATTCTGACAGTATATAGTTGAAGGAGCTTGACCTCCTCGAAACAAAACTCGAAAGATCTTTGCTAAAACTACCTATCTTCTGAGGCTCAAATAAGATTCCTTGATCGAAACTCATTATCATTATCATTATCAATATCTGGGTTCCTTTTCCTTGCAACCACGAAACCTGCAGGTTCATCACTTCGAAATCGGCCCCTTCGCTTTTCAACGCGAGAAGATCACCTCTGCAGAAAATTAACTCACATACATCGTGTCGGCTACAAACTAGATCTTGAGTCAAAATTATCACATCATAAACGTACTTTAGGTAGGTATCGATTCCTCTTATGTGCAGAAGAATACTTCTAACCTAGAGAATAGCACAACATCAATAATGGATTACATGATGATTGGTATTGCATCAACAGTAGTAGTACTGGTTGTCCTCGTTGGAGCTATCTGGTTTCATAGCCATTCAAAGAAGAAGCGTGCGGCTGCGGGATAATCAGGATGTTGATGGGAATTTGAGGTGGAGTGGGATGGTTCTCTTGGGTCTTGTGGATGGAGGGATGGGTCGATGGATCGATGGTAGTATGATGTAGAGTTGTTTTCTTTGGTGTAACATTAGATTAGGGAAAGGGAAAGATATAACTGGATGGGAGGATACAGATGAAGCAACAGATAGAAAGGGGAATGGGAATGGTCTTGATATCTTTGGGTTTTGGGTTGATCCATAGTTTGGTAAGGGCAGGAAGGTTTTAACGAGGGGTCAGAGTTCGATTACTCGCATACGTTGTCGTTGAATTTTTGGAGATGGATTTGTAGTTCTTCACATTTAAATCTCGATTGCAAAGGATTGAAGTCTATATTATTCTCGATTCGTGTGAAGTTGATGAAGTGAATGGAGTGACTCCTTGAGGATGGTAGTACATTCAGAGTAAATTCTATGAATGACTCGAATTCGAGTCAACATAAGAGTCAGAGTATTGGATATGTTTAAAATGGTAGCTAGGTTGCTTAAGGTAATATCCTCTGTAGATAGAGATACTACAGGGACACTCAAAGATCATATTAGATCTAATCATTGTTCGAATCTTAAGCACGCCTCTAGAACTATTACCTTCCAAAGTACCTTGCAGAACTTCTTCTTCACGAGTTGACAATCACAGCGCATCATTTTACTTCACCCACAATACTCGTCCTTCCATTTATTCCAAAATACCCGAACTTCGCTTCGCAGCATAGTCGTATTTATCCCTATCTCTGGTACTAGAATCATACATTACACAGCATACTTTAAGTATACCATCTGTTCCCTATCATATCCCTCACATAATTCCAACCACGGACCTTCTTACTTCCAAGCCAGCAGAATATCACGTTGCCAACCAGTCAACAATGCCTTTGGGGACAGTATCTATCGTTACTCTATCATCACTTGCAGTGATCGGCCTATGCTTCAGCGCTTTTGGGACTTGGAGACAGATTAAGAAAACGCGAGAGGATAAAAAAGTGCAGAGGGCTCGAGAGCAACTTCCAAGGATTGTGTATACGTCGCCTTCTCTTGCTTGGTGGAGATTCTTCGATGGTTGGAAGATGTGAGAGCTGGCGGGTCAACGAAGGTCGATGGGGGGTTGGAGTGATAAAGGGATGGAGGTATGTATAACGAGAGTGCTCGATGCCTTTTTGCTTCTGGCTTTCATAGTGTAAGAAATCAGTAGGGTCAGATCTAGGCGAGCACGAATCACTTGTCCCACTAGAGATTATTATCATCCATTGTAGATGGCCAGGTGGTTTTCTCTTCTGAGACGAATCATCGAGAATCGATGGATGTAATTGGTAATTACTAGGCTTCTTAACTCTTGATATCAGTGTTGGAGGGAGGTCATGATCTGCAGCTGAAGAACCTTTCTGCATACAAAGAGCGTTGAACTTATCAAGATGAAATCAATGTGTATTTTTTCGTGCTAGAATGGGACTATTGCAACACCCATGTGAGTGAGGACTGGTATGCTAAATGGCACTGTCATATTTCTGAGTCGCTATCCATCTTGATTGCTATTTTAGTGAGTTGGGTCGAGCAATAGTGGTAAGTCTCGAGTCACAAGCATGACAGAACTTGTTCCCAATATAGAATTTATTCAGACTCAACAAGAAGTCATAGAAAAGCTAATAATTGAACATCAGCTTTGACTCCAGCTACTCACCAATACCCACCCCAGATTTCTTCGCTACCTGATGATCATTCTTGAGCTCGAAGATCAACATATAATTCTTCATAATTCTTCCAGCTCTTCTTGCTCACTACGATAGACGTTGGATTCTATGGTTGCCAGAGTTCAATATCAAGGCATCTAGACATTGTTCGCTAGAAGTCTTCTCAAGTCTATCCGCTTATTACGACATTGCGACCTTTCTCGAATCAATCTCATCAATAATATCTACCTCTGTAATAACTTCGAAGCCTTTGAAATCATACATCATACCAACACTTTAGCATTATGTTATGTTATCAATCCCAATTATATTCTCCCATAATAAAACTATGGGGTTGCGATTGAGATATTCGCTGGCAAGATTTTACCACTTGTGCTATGGTTATCTTCGCCACAGCAAATATTCTCAGATCGCGAGCCCATCATATTCAAAAATATGGCTCACCGGGAGGTGCTTCAACCCGTGATATATCATGCGCCAAGCCCCAACTCGCAGCCACCTCCACTCTCATCCTGTAGGATTCCAGCCGTGTACAAGGACAAGGGTTGACATCACCAACTCTAATTTTCTTCAAAACTTCATGTCTCACGACCTATATCATCATGCCACTTATGCAATTGATGACTATTCACGATGAACCATGTTGCCAAAAGAAAGAGGTGCTGACCCCTGGTTATGTTGTGTCTCCCACGATATTAGATAAACGTAATTTTATGTTACTCATTCAATATATAGGTAATAACGAAGATTAACCACGCGCACATAGAATAGAAATAGTGCTGACCATAAGCCTCACCCATTTGCTGACCTTGGCACCGCGCAGTGCAGCTTATTAACGTAAGTTCATTCTTCATAATAGAGGCCGGGACGAACACGAAGAACCATATGTTGTTTTTCATATTTTTATCGTTCTTTATGGTTGGTAAGGTTAACCAACATGTTGTATCAAATTTATATTCCTGTGTTACTTTCTCTTATCACATCCGCATCCGCTTATTGGATACAATTCAATGCCAAGTCTAGATGCGCCAGTAAAGAAACTCTGCGTTCATGGAGCGGATCAACAAATAGAGGGTGTCAAGCACGCTTCTCCAAAACAGCCAATTCGGTATTCGTCATGAATACTGGTACATCGGATGACAACACAGTGGTCGTTTTTTATTCCTCGCAAGACTGTAATCCCGAAAGTGCCATTGCACGGGTCGAAAGTGGATGTGTTGAAATCGAAAGCGAAAATCTTGGAACCAAATATCAGTCATTCAATGTTATTCGAAAGTTTGATTCAGCAAGGATTACGCCGGTTTCGAAGAATGAGTTTGGGTATCAACATGGTGGAATAAAGCTCTATAAAGGTGTGGAGTATCGTTGGTTGAAGCAGCTTGACGGATCATTTCGAGGAGTATTTCCGGAGGAATGGGATGATGCTATTTTGAAGCAAAGAAAAATAACCACCTCCGTGAGCTGAGCAATTGATTATAATGAGATTGGAGCAGCGTGTGACGAAACCCATGCATCTTCGATACGATAGCTTCTGGAAAGCATTCATTGACAGGAAGCGTGCCTCCAACATGATGAACATTGATCATGTGAGAAGCACCTCGATTACCAGTCAACCTACTATTGAATATAGGCATTTCATATCAGTGCAAACGCTGAGGAGGAGAACAGGAAAGTCATCAAAGAAGTTTTTACTCCAGAGGCCTGCAGAATGAATGAGTGAAATTGAAAGCCAGAGAAGAGACGTTCAAGAGTGTGGTATTGAGAGTGCGAGTATTGAGCAATGATTGGAAGATTAGTCTCCAATCAGTCGTCTTTTCAATCCGAAGTGCCTCTAAAAGAAATACCTGTCTATTGTAGGCACCCTACTGGAAGTATTTTAGGGCGGGGCTCCCTCTCGAGCTTCGAGACGATACTTTTGCGAATGCTCAAGCATACTTCCTAAGCCAAGGATGCGGGACACCCGGAAATCATTCGACAAGAGATTGTGAGGTTCCAATCGTCCGCGAAGAACTTTGACCTATCAAGAGAGTGTTTTTTGTGTATAGATGCGAACCTAGTTGGATTATGGGCCGGATTGCTTGAATGGCAGCGTAGAAGAATAGCACTGGACAAACTTGCGAGTACATTCAACACTGAGACACAACGCATGCGATGACTCTTAACTTGGAGAATCACCCTCGGAAGTAATTAGACAAATAGAAAGATATGTTACTGCACTCGGAGAATTGGCCCATCACGTATGTGGACCTTTGGACGAGGATTTGCGTGTGAAATGCGGTAAATAAGGACAAGATTTACTCTTTTGTCTTCCTATGCACCAAAACTCCTAATGCTATGCAATGTGATCCCAGATTTCATTTTACCAGTCTTCGTCATCATCACTCTCAACATTGGGCAGCTTCGAACCTCGAATACCGCCCTTCTCTCGACGTTCTTCTTCTTCATCCTCTGCATCACGTCTCCGCTTCGTAACTCTCATGTCATTATCCTTGATGGCTCCAATTTCAATCAACAGCTTATCAATCTCCGCCATTCCTACTCGCACACCTCCCATGGTCATTAATGTAACCACTTGTTTCACAATATCTCCTTTGTTGTACACCAGTATTGTAGGGCAATTTCTGTCGGGATAACCTTCAATAGCCATATCACCCCTCATCTCGCAGAACTTGACTTCCCCAAACTCGACAGCTGCTCTTCTCCACAACTCAGTCAAGACCCTACTTTCCACATTCGTTCCCAACCCACTCGTGAGATTGACTAGTACTGGCGAGTCTTGACTTGCATCTGTAACCTCTCTCTGATAATCAGGCTTCGACAAAGGGTACACTGCGCCGTGCTTGGCTTTCTTTGATATAGATGACAATTCTGCCATTCGTTGTTTTTTATATTGTTCGAGAAAAGCATCATCTTCTTCATCTTCAAGAGCGTCTAGCTCATCGAGATCCTTTCCTTCAAGTCTGTTTTCGTGCGCAAGACGACGTCCCTCGAGGATAGCCTCTTCGATAAGGGGCGTGGGGGAAGGGGGTTTCTCGGGAATGATACCCTTGGCTCGCAAAATGTCATTCCATTCTGTATCGGCATTTGGATCATCTATAGGCACATTGATTCTTTGATCCATAGGAGCTGCCATGATTGTGAAAGTTGAGGTTGATTTGAGGAATTATTGTATTATGATGATAATTAACCTACAAATTTGCTCCAAGACAATTGTATGTGGAATCCACAATCTGCAGCCTGGCCTAGCTCTGAGCAATTGGAGGGGTAGTCGGAGGAAAGATGACCCAAAAGCCGATCCACTTAAAAGCACGAGCTATTTTTACGGGTCGAATTTCACTTTCACGTGATCTATCTCGGTTAAAAATCTGGCACACTCTAGGGTTTTTAGAATTGGTTCATTTTTCTCCGCTCTTGATAGTTACCAGTTCGACCCATCGACAATAGACTGACCTTCGCCCTCTACGTCCAAAAACTCGAGACTTCGACAAAGACCCGTCAGTCCAATATCCGAATAACAATTTCGATCAAAATACGTCAAGATGGTAAGGAATCACTCAATCAAATATCCCCACATCAACGCATCGATTTTGGTCAGAAGGCATGAGGTGGAATTGTATAATGGCACACGACATTCACACGACAATCACGAGGAGGAGAACAAGCTTTATACGGATTGGAAAATGTTATTTGTTCACCTTTGGATTGGGCCGAATTGCTGGAATGGATGCATTGATGATGGAATTTGACGGTTGATATTTGATGAGGTCAATGGCTAATCAGAATTTGCCACCTAGGTTCTCGCAATCGATCTCCTCAACCCATCCCCAGCTGCTGAGGCACGCAAGCACAAGCTCAAGGTATGCGACAACACCTTCACTAAATCTTCGACTCGGTTTCAAATTGGCAGAAACTAATATTTTTTTGCCACTCTAGCAACTTGTCCCAGCCCCAAGATCCTTCTTCATGGATGTTAAGTGCCCAGGATGCTTCACCATCACCACTGTCTTCAGTCACGCCCAAACCGTTGTCATCTGCGCTGGATGCTCAACTGTTCTCTGCCAACCAACAGGTGGTAAGGCTCGTTTGACTGAGGGCTGCTCTTTCAGAAGAAAGTAGATCAGATATATTCTTGCTACTTTTCTTTTGGCTTCGTCTTTTCGGTTAATGGCAATGGCTCAATGAGGGTTTAGACATGGTTCTAGTTTTCGATACGCAATTTGATGGATAGAAGATGGACCTCACCCAAAATTCCTTGCGAAAGATCGATGCAACAAGCAGCAGAGGGGCGTTTGGGAAAATCCGGATATCTTGCATCAAATCAAAAACGATTCCCTCATAAAATTTGATTTATTTTCGTGTGTACGAGTCGTTTGTGATATGATTGATCGCGAACGTAAATACCTCCATTGGTGGATATGAACGGCAGGAAATGACGATTCTACGAATATTCACGATGATAGAACGACCTGGAGTTGCGAGAACTTGGATTGTCTCTTGAGGGCCTCGACATATTCTCAATGGACATGGAGCTTGTGCTATATCAATCAACGATGATTCCATATTCCCTTTTCAATGCCCATTCCGTGAATAATGTATGACTACCGATTGACTTATTGTGATGGATAGTTTGCAAGCGCGTCTGTCCAGAAACCCCTTTTTCTGACTCGTCTGGCCATTTTCCGGATTCTTTCTTTACATGTGTTGAAGTGATATGTTAAGATTGTGAACCCTTGGACGCGGAATACTTTAATGACCCTATGCAATCTGGAAAGGCAGTTTACTCCTGGTTATCACATTTGTTTAAGCTAACATTAAGGGAAGCGACATCGATGCTTCCACAAAAACTAGACTTTGACATATTCAAAGGCAATACACATGTTTGAGCATTTCGCTACTTGTGACTTTCGAGAAAGATTCTCCAAGTCAAAATTGCTGTATGAATTTCATCTCATCCCGCTACATTGACAATATAGTGAAGTCGTCCAATCGATGCGAATTTCCCGGCTTGGCCTAATCTTTCCCTGGACGAAAAACAGAAGCTCAAATCAATTCTTCTATACTCCTGCAAATTCGATTCGGTTGTTCCCTTGTAAGCCAAGGCAATCATGGTTGAGCAAGTGTAATGAGCTGATATGGAAAGTGTATCTTTGCTCAACGACCCTCGACGAATCATGTAGGATTTCATTTCATCTTCCGCTATCAATATGGCCAGGCAAAGCGACTCGGTTTGGCGGATCAACACTACACCTTGTCAATTTTTTAGGATTCTGCCCTCACGTCCCCTCCTTGAGTGAATATCTGTAAAGCTTTCGATCCAGTGAAATTGCGATATGTACCTACTCTTGATAGGTATTCACTGCATCGATAGAGTCAAAGCTTTTTTATGGGAAGTTCTTTTGGCACGTCCTCTTACCATTATTTCTCTTCTTTATCCTCGGCGCCCTCTCCTAGAACTCATTCCTCCACAGCGAAAATCATGGCAGAAGTTACTGAATCTCATGATCCTACCCCGACCGACACTTTCATGGACGATGGCATCCAATCTCAACTTCCCATCTTACACGATGATCGTCGTACACACTTAGAACGTCTCGCAGTATTCCTGGCATTTAGAGAGGGTTTTGCGCAAACGACGGAGGCAACAAGAAAGTCATTTCAGGGCAACAAAAATATATCTTTCAAAAGAAGGCGAGAATTCTTCGAATACTTGATTAGCAAACGCGAGGTTTCATTGCAACTACACCGAATGAAAAAGAAGAGTATCATCGCAGCCGCCGAATTTCTGTTCAGGACTAATCACCTCTCACCAAATTCGATAATGAATAAACACTTTGCACATCTCTCTGCAGAACAGATCCAGAGTTTCGAGTGGAGGGCTTCTGTTTCTCTTCCCCCATGTGCGTACGATTGTTTATCTTCCTGCTAATACTTTCATGGGTAATTACTGATAACTTTATGTTCTAGTGAAAAAGAGGATAGTCGTATTGGTGGAAGATTTCGAACCTCCTATATCAACGAGGACTAGATCAAATTGCGAGGGCTGTCAGAAATTGAAGATAGCTGGCGACGAATCTCGACTCTCTGATGAGATGGAAAAAATGTGTTTGTGTGCTAGGGGAGATATATCAACTTTGAATGGAGAAAATTATGGCGCAGGCTCGGCGGGAAATGATGACGATGAAATGGAGATGAACTAGTGTATAGTCGTTACTGTGCGCATTTAAATGCTGATATAAGCTTTCGATGTATTTGTGCCTTCATATCACAATAGAGCGTCGCTTCCTGCTCTCTCTTGCATCTTATTCTATAAAAAAGGTTCTAAGTTAATCTTTGCCATGCGAGCGATGTGAAGGCCGACATGAGACAGCCTAGTGTCTTGCCACGTTCACTGCACTCACCTTGATGGCAAGTTTTGATTCCAAGTAAATAATCTCTCCAGCAAGTTGAATTCGACCACTCTTCTCGAAATCACGACCGACAGAAAGAAAAATACCAGCGCGACTTTCCGGGAATTAGGAAAGTATTGGTGGCTCTAGTGCAGCAAGATAGCACGGGTCAGTGATCATCCAATCTAAGGGGTTGAGATGGGCTGAAAAAGTTGTAAGAGTATCTGTCAACGCTGGAGAAATGTATTATTTAAGGGTCTATATCTATGGTTTAGTATTGTGTAAATGTGATGCTTCATCTTGATAAATAGAATGAGAAGATTTTGATGATGTAAAAACCTGGTTCATCTTTTGAAAGCTTTAGAAGGTAATGCATTTAATTGTGATTTTTCTTTTTTTGCTTTTTTGTTCCCCACTTGAAGTTGTTGAAGAGTAAGCGAACTCGATGTATTGATGAGTTTTCAAGTCGCTCTTCTGCCGCTTGAGGTTATGAAAATGGCAAGAATCTCAGGAACTGTACATACATACAATAAAGTGAGGTTATTTCAAGTAAAGTGGAGTGAAGTACCATGATGTCAATTTCACCAACGACAGGAATTTTATCGCTTGAGGTTTCTTCACAAAGTAATTCGAAAGGTTTGATTTGGATATGCAAAGTTGTAAGTCACGTAGTGATGAGAAGTCGGTGATTATACAATATATTATTGGGGGTATCATTTACAATGGAGGCCCGTCTCTTAAGGCCATAATCTTGTGCCAAAGTTATTCACGCACAATGTTCAATCCTTCTCCAATCATGAGCTTTGTGAAGGCCCTGCACACCACGTCCCACAAGGGCATCCCGTGAGCTTCTTGATCCACAAGCTTGCATGTTCTTCCATCAATCTGGTCATTTTAGCTGGCGGTTCCGTTTCAAACAGTTGAACTCTCTTGACTGTGTGACAATTCTCAGTCGGTAAATTCTTCGCGGGCTGGAGCTTCCCGTCAGGATAACGGCAGCCGAATTTATCGAAATCACGATTGTCACATTGAGGCTCAACTGACTTCATGGTAGTTCGGACATCGCTAATCGCCACGACCGCTGACAACGAAATCTCTAAATTTCCCCAATTCTGGTCTAATATCGCTTTCCAGGTATCCTCAAGGAATATGAAAGCTTGATGAAACCTCCTCATGATTACCACTGGCGAAAGTAGAATCTCTGGATCTTTATCATCTTCGTCAAAGAAATCCTTGATTGAGATAAGGTCTTCCCAACGCTCCCGAACCCAACCAAGGGAGTCCGTTTGCCCTTCGAGAAATTCCCAAAGACAATTGGTATAATCGATAATGTCGTTATAAGCCCTGCAGAGAATTTGGTGAAACAATGCGATTCTTTCGACATCGTATGATTCTAGCTTTGTCGTTTCAGCCAAGATGCTTTTCCTTCTAATTACTTCTTCAAACATGGATATTCTAGGAGGTGCTCCTGATTCTGCAAGCTAATTCTTAGTTTAAGAGTTGCTGTGCTGAGATAATAGCAGAGGGATTGATTACATACCATCATCCATGACGAGTTCGAAACATTCTAGAGGTGGTTCCCTGACCAGATGAAGCACTTCGAGATCATCATTGCTGGGCGCGTCTGAAACATCCTTTACCTCGAGTCGTGCAATCGCTTTCCCCTTTTCTTCCATCTTTCCATCGAGTCTGCGAGTACAACATCATCAGCTTTTTTCTCGTGAGACCATAAAGCCTTGCGTACGTTTGACCTATGCCTGGACGAGATTCTATGGCCTCCTCTGTCACACCATTCCAGAGAGTGACGACCCTTAAATTACTGTGAGCCACTGCATGCCTTCTTTTCATCCGTTTCTTGAAATTCCTTGGTCCATCACCGAACTTCAAGTGCCTCTGCAGCTGTTCTCTTCTCGTGCACTTTCTTCCTCGCTTCGCTTCTCTCTCATTACCATTTGAGTTTGCTTTTTTCATATCGCTATTTAGGATAGATCTCATCTTTTCTAGGAGTACGTTGTGCGACAGGAGTAGATGTTTAGAGATCAGATATCGTGATACAAATTGTTCGTGTCCCGAGGAATGGCTTTTTCTCTCGCAGCAATGAATTGAAAAGATAGCGCGAGTAAATACAAAGAAACACTATATGCTTTAACTCACCGAATTCGTGTTTTCCAGTTGTTTTTCTCGCTCTGTAGAAGAACGACAAGTCCCAGTATCCAACATCAGAAAGTGCGACAAACGGGCTCAAAGGGGTGTGATGCATCCTTGTCAACGCTGCCAAGACGGCTAGACGCATGAGAAATTACACCATGTGCATGGAGCAGCGAGGCCGCTTTGACTCACCGATTATAATTTCTGGGCTTTTATAGATTATTATCTCAATCATTCGTGAGACCTATCGGTATGTACCTAATTAGTGTTGAATTCCAAATACCATTACTCGGTTCATGGATATGGGGTAGATGACCCGAAAGGGTTAATTGTGCAATTACAGTTAATATTGGACTAACTGCATGATAGAAGGATTGGTAAATGACTAACAGAAGGAGTACAGAACTGACAAACAGGTTCTAAAGGTCTGGTGAAACCGCACTCCTCGTGATGTACTTCACGTGATAACAAGTTGAGCTGCATGAAGGGTAGTGTGGTGCAACGTGAAACGCAGGCGTCTCAACTGCAGATGTATTCTTCTTCTACAGTTCTGTTGTATTTATTTGATCAAACCTGCCTTCATTCAACTCTAGACAAATCGAGTAGATGTTCGGGATCTAGATGATTACACCATCCTTGCGAATGGATATACAAATATAATGGGGCTTTCCATGAAGAGAAAAACTCCCGCAGTCTTACCGGAATTCTCCAAGAAAGACTTGGGCTCAGAGCATTAAGAGATGGTACGAAATCTCAAGTTATTTGCTGCATATTGGTTATTCAGCATTTGACTTCGAGTGTTGAAAGTTATCCTGTCCTGGCTGTCCATAATCGTGCAATTGTAAGTTCCTGTGTCAAGATTTTGAAGTACTGTAAATCTGATGTTTCGGATAAGCGTCAATAAAATATACTATCTGGATGGCGAAGATGACATTCTATATTAGGACTTAAAAACTATCGCAGCTGACGATGTGGTAGTAAAAATAAGTACAAACTTCTATCAGTCCCCAGTGACCCGTTGTTGCACTGAACATTGATGACCTAACTCAGGAAGAACCCAAGCTATAGAAGCAAGTTACATTTACGAGAAAATACATCGTACATGAGAAGACATATCCAGAACGGGCCTCGATGGCAGGGTACTACTTCGCGCTGCTCATGACTCATACACTCAACTACGCTTCATATAGTTTCGCGTTGATGTTTATCAATATCCAAGCTGTATGATGCCCATCTAAATTTGTTTCAAGAGAGGTATGCTTCCAATACACTGGTATGTTCCAAAATGGCTTCCCTTTAGTCATTGAACTGACAATATCCCTCTATTTCCGGAAAATTGGAAGGGTATGGACGCTGAAACGAACTTGTGAACATAGGCATGTTCCTCTGATAAATATACACAGCTTAATCCTTGATTTCAATGTCTTATTCAAGTACCGGTTGATATGACACACATCATCATCATCATCATCATCATAATCATCAGTGGATCCGAAGGTGGGAAATTTTGGAACTATTTCTTCTCTCTTATTTTAATACTCCTTTTCGAAAGAGAACATTTTAAAGCAACATGACAATAAGACATAAAATGACAGATAGATACTATTTAGGAGATAAAAGGTCACATCTAGATTTCTTTCAATGTCGAAAAATGTTTCAAAGTCCTTCACCGAAAATATTGATTTGTTGGATTCTTTGCGGAATTGCAGAGAGATAAACTTATTCAAGCGACGGGGTGATTCATCCACGGATTTATTTCATACTGTCGAGTTTTTTTCGACGACAGTTCTATTGGTGATTTTTCTGCTTTCCTTGTAACTTGATGTCTACCTTTAGCATCCGTGGGCGAAAGTCTGGAATGCTGAAATCGGACACTTTCTCAGCTAATCTTCACAGTACGCCGAATCAGTCTTGAATCGACTGTGTAAGAAATCGATTACGATGGTTCTTATACTAACAAGTCTTGAAGCCGCATATTTGATTGGGAGACTCTGGTGGAAGTAGGAAATACAAGTGATTTCCTCTTGCCGAGACAATACCATTGGCTCATTTCATTTTCAAAGAACAATTTTAATATTATCTGATTCCGTTTTCAAAAGCTGACATATATGGACTGTATGTAAGGTGGAGTATGATCTACTATAACATTTGCTCAGACATAAGAATCACGGGAGAGAAAAATACACGCCCATGGTAGCTCTCTAAGTACTATTACATTCACGAATCTCCCATGCAGAAATATACTTCTCCTATATCTTACCGAGATTGAAGAAGAGAACCTCCTATATACTCCTTTCGCAACGCTGCTACAATGCTACTCTTTGGTACAAGTACGAGATGATGTATATTCACAAGAGAAACAATGACCGTCTTTGACAATCCACCCAGCACATGACTACAAATCAACCATAAAAACAGCTTGTTATCAAATCCGAATTCACACCAACAAGAAAAACAAGAAAAGAACCCATATCTCATACGTCCAGACATCAACCGAGACTTAATCCAGCTTCCGCAATCTCCATAGTTCGTACGAAAAAGGATATAGTATTGATATCTATACCTGAAACCGAGATTTCATGATTTATACCCGTATAATATATCTTGAACTTGGGATCTTGGACTTGAAAAACGCTCGATTGAAATACCTTCCTTCGAGTATGTGCAATTCACAACTATAATTTCCTGAATATTGGATAAGTTTGTTTATAGAAAAGCGCTAAAATGCATCGAATCGAAACTCTAGATCTCTACCGCATTATTTTTCTCCTAGAGTGACACACAAGACTCAATTCTCTCATCATTGAGTTTGCTGCAAGCGACAAACGACTTACTAAAAAAGGTGCTCATAAATTTGCCGAGAGGCATCTCTTATTCAAGTCAGAACTTCGCATCAGAACCAGACCCCAAAAAGAGGACATACAAGTATGGAAAATTGACCGGAATATGATATGATCATTTCCGGATGAGGATGTTCTCTTCTCTCCGTAGAATGTCTGAAATGCTAGGGTGCTAACCCCCCTCCCTTTTCTCTCTCAGTGTACATCTCACTTTTTGATCTTATTTACCAGAATGAAAGTCTTCGGATCCATCCCTGTAATGCTATGTCTTGCCAGTTTCAGTAGATATACCATGATGATATACCACAATGTAGGTTAGGTGTCTTTCAATAACATAGAATAGGATTTACCATCGCTCAATCTTCCATAATCCTTCGCTCATATCTCCCGCTTAACTCTTTGCTCAGACCCCATCACAACTTTACTTGATCAAAAGCAGACTGTCATTCTAGACAAATCACCTAACAGCTATCAGAAGCATGCATCATCTTTCAAAAACCATCTCATCTCATCTCATTAGGAAAAAACATATACATACCTACATACATACATACTCACATAAAGCGCACCATGCCACACAATGTTAAGAACACAATCCAATACTATCCAGAGTCTAACATCCTCTCACAAAATGCCAGCACCACCACACCATCATTCAAAATTTTGCTTCACGCCATCTATCCTATATATTTTTAATTACATGCATCTCCATCAGCTTTCAGATCGTGGCCGAACGGTCATGGCGCCAAACTCTGTTGGTTACAGTTCCCTAACCCAGTGTTGATTGAAATCGGTGAAGCGTACTCGTTCGTGGGTATTGTGGATGATTTTAGATTGTTGTTTGTATTCTTGGGGGCTTGATTTCTATTTTTTTATTTTTTTTCTGATATTGAGGGAGAGTGTTTTTGGGGATGGGGAATGGGGGATGGAAAGGTAGGTAGGTAGGTGAGTAATAAGTAGCTATGTAGTCTGAATGGATGATTTGGGGAGAGGGGATGTGAGTGAATGTCTTTTTGTGGGTTTGGTGGATGGAGATGTCGTATAG